CTGTGCGGACTTCTCTTTGATTTTGAATGGGTTGGAGAAGCAGGTCTGGGGAGATATTCGCCATTTCTTAACAATTGTGGACAAATGAAATGCCAGTGGGCCAATGGAATACATCCATACGGGATCATGGAGAAAGAACATGATCTGAAAATGATTGATTTACTCAATGCATCAGTTAGTATGTCTCTCTAGGTAGATGACAATTTTTATGACGACTTCAGACGTCTGTGATGTTCCTGGAAATCTCATTCCCTAATCATCGGGCTCAATCATGCCAAAATTCGATCCGAAATGTACGTATCATTTTACTAGAATTACACTGGAGGGCAATTCTCTAATAATCGGCCATTGCGCTCTGTGGAACTGTGATGCCAGTGAACAGGCCGCCGACGCCAAAGTATACTTTCAGTTTCAGCTCTAGATCTTCTCAGAATCGGGAAAATCTTCCGCACATGACTTACTACTTGAGCGCAAATCCTCCATGAATGTCCTCCTGAATGAATTTTGACAAGCCATTAGTACTAGCAGTCAAGTCTGATGTCGGATCAGAAATTTTTCCATAAGAAATCAGAGGACGCTCCCCTCCTACAAATCGATAATAAATTATGCGATACATTAGATTCCAAGTAGACATTCCGCTTGCGGTCGACCAAAGGGGGAACACGTTCCAATGCGCGGCTCAGCTGACCCAGTCGAGGTCCTGCCCATCTGCAGCCGTGCGGGACGAATGTCCATTTTTCCGCGACGTCACCGGAAGTGGGCGAATCCAGAGCTTCACGTGGCCGACTTTGCTGCCGGTGAGCAACCAGCGGGGGAGGAACGCGACCGCAGTCAATATGTCATTCTCGAGCTGCTTGACGAGCACTGGTTGCACGATCGCTACTTCATTACGGGATGGTGCGGGATGGAAGCGCGGAAGTGGGTTCTCGGTGCCGAGAGGAGGGAGATTGGGTGTTGAGTGGTCGGCGGTGAGCGTGTCAGTGCGCCGGTGGACGGCGAGAGAGGGAGTCGATGCCATGGAGAGGCGGTGGTGGTGTGAGTGTAACTTCGGTCGGTGTAAAATGCCACTTGAGAAGTCCCACTGCGAAGCGTCAAGTTGGAGACGAGGCGGAAGGGAATTGGAAGACTTACGAGGATAAGTTTATTATCTTCCCCCACGCTACCAAAGCGGTATGTTCGACCGTCACACCGCAGGTCATCAAAGGCGAGTGCAGATAAAAAAGACGAGTGTCCCTGACAGCGTGCGATAACGCGCTGTTCCCATGGTGAAAAAATATTGACGAGGTCATCTTGGCCACCCGTCTAACAGGATGAGAATCAAGACGAGAGGAACCCGCCAGCCGATATGGGACTTACAATGATGAATCTCCCATCCGGTGACCAGGCTACACACGTTAGTGAGCCAAAGTAAGCGGCATAGCAGTCTACGAGCCTAGCGATCCGATGCTCACAAAGATAAATATATATACAAGAAGAATGCGTACTGTTCTGCCAATGCGTCAATCACCCGAAGACAACCGTCCTCGGAAATAGCCGCCACATATTTGACATCAGGTGAGAAAACGAAGTCTATGGAAATCAACGCTCATTCCCAACCCAGTCCGTCGATCAAGGTACGTACCGACGACGCCCCGCTTCGACACCTTCCAATGGCTTACGGGATTCTTCGTGCTTTATCCCTATCTCCCTTTCCGCCCCCTGCTGGCGCACCAGCTGCATTCACCGGATGCCAGGGGGAATTGTGACGAAGATACTGTCTAATGGGTTCCACTCGCCGGTCGGTGGTCCGCCTCGGTGGAAGGGGGATTCGGTTCATTGGATGATTGTCGCGGAGGTGATGCGAGAGAAGCAGTTGGGGGCTGTGGTGTGAATACACCGTCTTCGCGGTCCTTGTCGTAAACAATGATTGTGCCGTCCGCATGCGACACGAGGAAGAGGTTCGGAGAGGAAGGTACCCATCGTACTGCCGTACAGGGCGAGTTGGATATGCGACCCTGCAAAATAATGTCCCTTTTCACTAAGCACCTGAACGAATCCCACAGACCGTTCTTACCTGCTTGTTCAATCGCCCGTATCTTAGCGTGATCGGATCTACAGCCATGAGCTTTGCATGAACAACACAATGTCAAAATCCGGACTCACCGAGCCAAATAAGATCACCAGTCTGAAATCCAATTATCAAGTCTAAATGTTCGTGAGAGGCTGTGGTATGGTTCACGTCGAGACATGTCGGATGTGCAGCAAACACAACACGAGCCAAAGGTTCCTGTAAGGACGAGGTATTAGCTAGTTCTCGAGCGAGGGATGCGTCATGAGTACCTTGGCTTGGACACCAGCCTCAATCCAGTACACGTTCTTCGCCGAATTATAGAATAGATACGTGACTTCTCCCTGCTTGGCCTGTAAGGTCTTTGCAAGACCTTCCATGCACTGCACCCGAGTGATGAATGTTGATGACGTCGTTCGTATGTTATGTTTCGGACGCGTTAACGTTCTGCGCTTGCCACCCACAGGTGGGCTGAATAGGCCATGGTTCTGATCTGGCATACCTGTGGACGTTGGAGGCGTAATTTCTTGCGTACTCCCGATGTCGGGTGAAGTAGCATCCTCGGGTGTTTCCCCACTCGAAACGCTGACACCATCTTCCTTTGCGGGGTCGGAGCGGCGAGCCTTTCTCTCCTTTCTCCTTCCAGAAGTCCTTACCGCTGCCCAGAAGCTGGCCAAGGCCTTGAGCGGCAGGTTGCTTCGCGGGGAAGCGCACGGTGATGGTGGATAGACGGGTTGGGTGTGTTGGAGGGGCCGTGTTATGGACGAAGGCGGTAGGTTTGTGGTCCTCCGTGACGGAGTAGACGCCTTCGGGAGCGACGAAGGTGAGCTCGTTCTCCATCATCAACACTTGACGGCTAGAAGCGCGAGGCTAATTTGACGTTTTGTCACTTGCTACTGTCGCCCTTGCTGATCAAGAAGTCGTCGGGGCTTGCCAACGCGAGCCGCCGTTGACTGGAGTTCCTCGCTCCGAGTACAGCCCGGTCTTCGGATCTTATCCTCTCACACTCACACTATACAACCATGATCATCTCTATCATCACGCCTTCCGTGCGCTCAGCTAGACGTTTGAGATTCGTAACCGTGGGTGCTACGAATTTCATTTTGTTTTTTAATTTTCTAAATCAGTCCGGGCGTCGCATCACTGCCCAAAATCGAACAGTTGTCCAAGTCCGTCGCACGACGTTGGGAATCGACCGGGTCCGAACCTCCGCCTCCCGATGGTCATCTTCCTTCCGTTGCACCTCAAAGATCCTCCGCAGTACACGCGACGCAGCTCTACGCACACCTGGATCAAGTGGCTAGATGAGCATGGGAGCTCGCCATTGCAAAATACGATTGGCGGCCGTGAGACACGCAAAATGAACGTTTATCAGGCTGTCAGGGATGCAATGGGGTAACAGCTAGCTCAACTGGCACGTCTTGACTGTAGTTGAGGTTTTGTCAGCATCGTATTAGCAAAAGATGATACAGCTATCATCTTTGGTGAAGATGTTGCATTTGGTGGTGTTTTCAGGTGCACTATGGTGAGACTTTTCATGTTGCTTGAGTACCACATGCTAATCAACCTACATTGGCAGGGCTTGGCTGAGGAATTTGGTATGACGTCCAATCAAAACATGTCTTCAGTCCTCCCACACATTCACCAGGTCGAGAGCGGGTTTTCAATACGCCATTATCAGAACAAGGCATCGTAGGTTTTGGAATTGGTGTTGCAGCGATGGGCCAAACCGCAATCGCGGAGATCCAATTCTCTGATTACATATTTCCTGCCTTTGATCAAGTACGCAAACGCTTACACACCTTCCATCACCGACTTCTTTTGACGATCACCTGGAAGCTCGTGAATGAAGCCGCCAAGTATAGATACCGCAGCGGAGGCCAGTTCAATGTCGGACGTTTGACCGTGCGGACACCAACCATGTCTGTCGGCCACGGAGGCCTATACCATTCCCAAAGTCCCGAAGGCTTCTTCATGGGTGCATCTGGGCTCAAGGTGGGCCTTTTCCCATTTATATCGATGGGGGGGACAAGTGTCGCAACTGCAGAAAAAATAAATCAACAGATCGTCATCCCCCGTTCTCCCGTCCAAGCAAAAGGGCTCTTGCTTGCCTCCATACGCGACCCAAACCCGGTAATCTTTATGGAGCCCAAGATCCTTTACCGCTCCGCGATTGAGCAAGTCCCGATCGACGACTTCGAGCTCCCTCTCGGCCGCGCGGAGGTCCTGGTGTCTGGTGCGGATCTCACGCTGCTCACGTGGGGAACGCCCGTGTACCATTGCGAGACGGCCCTCGGGCTACTTGCAGATCCTCCCGCCTCGCTCGCGCCGCTCGTACCCGAAACCATGCGCGGAGCCCGCATCGAGCTCATCGACTTGCGCACCGTACTGCCCTGGGACGTCGAGACAGTGCTCGAGAGCGTCAAGCGCACCGGACGGCTCGTGATTGTGCACGAGGCGAGTCGCACGGCGGGTGTCGGTGCCGAGATTGCAGCGGAGATACAGTCCAAGGGATTGTTGAAGCTGCATGCCCCCGTTCGGCGTGTTACTGGCTGGGAGTGAGTATTCCCTGTTTTTCTCTTTGCTTACAAGCGATGTTTGTTATGTTGACAAATCTTTATGCAGCACTCCTGTAGGGCTGCAGTTTGAAAAGTTTATCATACCGGACGCTATTAGGATTCTGGACGCTATCATGGAAACATTGGCATTTTAACGCATAGTAATTACAATCATAATGTACCGTATTCTTCAAAGACATTGAAACAGGAGAGATAAATCTGGCGCTGGATGTGTTAACCGTACACGCCATGAACTATTACATGTAGCGAAAACTCAAGCCAAGGCATATTGTCTCATAACGCGTCTTGCCCGTGAAATGGGTCGCTTGTGCCCAAGCAATGAAAAGAAAAAAGTGTCCATGAATGGGGAAGCCACACGAATGATCCCAAAAAAACGACACCAGCAGGATTTGAACCTGCGCTCCCATAGGGAAACAGATAGCGTGCAGTTCGAATCTGTCGCCTTAACCACTCGGCCATAGTGTCCTGATTTCGTCAGTCACTTAATGTTATTATAGATGCAGGAGGGCAAAGTCATATGTAGAAGTGCTGATACAGCGTCAAGTAGTCTAAAGAACATTCATCCCACACCAGCAGGACTTGAACCTGCTCCCAGAGGGAAAGAGATGTCAGAAGATTGAACATCTTTGGCTTTTGATGTATGCATTGCGTCAATTGACGTGAACAATCAGAAAATCACGATACATAGTCGAGTGGTTAAGGCGAGAGATAAGTATTTTTTTATCTAATTATTTATATCCCTTGTGCACACAAGTTCGAATCCCGCGGTGTTATCAATCTTTCCGTTTGCTCTGCTTCTACGATGAGCCATTCAACGCAAACGCCAACACTGCATATATGGCCTCCAAAGTGGGGATTACCTTCTATTGAGCCATCCTGTCTCGCAGCTGCCCTTTACTTGCAGCTCGCGCTTCCAGGACGTTTCTCAATCCAGGAATGTACCAACCCAGACATGTCCCCGAGCGGTAGGTCAGTGTCCGTTGAGGCAACGCAACATCGCTCTAATGCGTCATGTTATAGGCCAACTACCTTATCTCACCCATGGTCATCACACTGTTGCATCAATAGCTTCAATTGTGAAGTACGTGGCGTGCCTGACGCCCACCTCTATCCCTCCCGCCATCTCAGAGGCCAACGGACTTGAACCTACCTTTTCTGCCGATGTCGATGTATTGCTTGATCCCTTGGAGCGTGCACAGCGCACCGCATGGATCGCTCACATCGAATCAGCCCTAGGGGATCTCGTGGTGCGTTCCCGTTGCCTGTACTGAATGTTCGGCAAGTCAGTAATATGACATCTTTTTCAGGCCCACGCCTTTTACTTCCTCCGCGCAAACTACGCTGGTGTCACGTATCCTACCCTGTCCTCGTTTTACAACTTTCCACAGTCTTATTATGTGCCGCATCGCATTTGCCAGTCGTACAAAGCTCGCCTCGAGGCTAACGGATTATGGGCCATTCCAGCCGCTGGGGAGGAAAGTGAAGGAAAGAAACCGAAGCGTTTTGGTGAGCGGGTGACAGAAAAGGAGGATCCCAAACAAACGTTCAAAAGTGCGTTCCAGCGTGAGCGGGTGAGTTACTGGAGCGGCTGTCCAAGCACAGTTGTGTTGAATCGACCTTTGAGTGAAACAGGTCTAGAAAAGGCACGCGCGGCATTCGGCCTCTACGTGAGGCTGTTGGGCGACAAGGATTTTTTCTTTTATGATAGGTACGCTTGAGAGCGACTCGTTTTCACTCTCATGACTCACAGGACCTCCGCAGGCCGACGACGCTGGACTTGATGCTAGCTGCTCACATCCTGCTCCTCGTTGAAGCACCGCTCCCCGACACCTTGCTTTCGTCGCTCCTCAGCTCGTCATACCCCTCACTCATCTCTCACGCACGTCGCGTGCTCACCGCCGCAAAGCCTACCGTGTCTGTGTTGCCACCGGTGCGATACAACCTGAGTGCACTGCTGCCTTACCCGAGCCTCCGCGCTTGGTGGAATGAGCCTCGTCTTCCCAAAAGCGAAGAGGAGAAACGCTTCGACCGCATGCGGTGGCGTTGGATGGGCCTTGCCCTTGCTGGATCTGTCGCATATTGGTTCATCTGGGGACCCGAGATTCGGCTTATGGTGGAGGATGATGACGATGACGATGACGATGATCTGGCTTTTATTATTGAAGAGGATGATGAGGATATGGACGTAGACGTGGGTGAAGATGATGGTGAAGACGAAGATGGAGATGGCGATGAGGGGAGGAAGAGAGAGTAGATATTAAGATTCGCTAACTCGGCCCGGGACCGCGTGTATACCACTGGTAGTTGCACTCACCGTCGGGGGTCAATCATCATGGCTCCCTTTCGTTTGCGACATCCAAAAGGCGTTTCGACTATTCAGCTTGACATAGACTCTGCTACGGTACAGGACCTCCTCCAAACCATATACTCCATAACAGATATCCCTCCATCGCTGCAAGATCGTATGCCTTAAACTCCTCATACTCACCGAGAAACCTCATATTTCTCCCAGTCAAAGCAGGATACCCACCGCGCGCCCTCACGGCGGTCATCCCCGAGCTCCCACTCTCCAGCCTTGGTCTAGCGCCGAGCGATCAGTTACTTGTCATTCAGAAGTCTGGCTCCGCGGCACCTCCGGGCGTCACGCCCAGAGCGCCGACACTGCCTTCCCAACCGCACGCTACCGCTCGCAATCCACCCACCTCTCCCCCACCGTCATCATCAAACGCAAGACAGGTAGCCGCCGCACCCTCTGCACCACAGCGCGATGGCCCCGATTATGTAGAGGCGGAGGGTGGTTATCTCATACATTTGGTACGCATCATTTTCGTGAACTTCTCCATCTGAGAGTTCTTCTTTTGTAGGTCGTGCCAGATGACAATTCGTGTATGTTTGCCTCCGTCGCATTGGTCTTCGAGCAGGACATACGAAAGGCACCCGCAATCCGCCAGAGTGCGTCACAACAATTTTTTTTCAGGCGAAAAGTCAATTTCTCACACACTCTTTCAGTCGTAGCCGATGCGATTCGAAGGGACCCAGCAACATGGAGTGATGCCATCCTGGGGTGCGAACGAAATTACTAATACTCCCCCCCCCCCCAAGTTCCATTCCATATCATCATTTTTGGTTCTGTCTCTGTCCTGTCGTTACTAAACATCACTCCAGGCGTCCGCGCGACGACTACATCCGCACGATCCTTTCCCCAAATTCCTGGGGAGGTGCGATCGAGCTCACGATCCTCGCAGCGCACTACGGCACCGAGATCGCGAGCATCGACGTCGAGACTGGCCGCATCGACCGCTTCGGAGTCGGCGGTCCGGCGATGTCGCACCCGCCGAGAGCCGCGCGCTGCTGATATATTCCGGGATCCATTACGACGCTGCGGTGCTCGCGCCTGAGCCCGGTGCGCCTCGGGAGTTTTGCGCTAGCGTCGTGCTTGCTGTCGGTGCGGAGGGTGAGCGCATGCTCGACGCGTTGCGTGCGCTTGCGACGAAGTTGCGGGCGAAACGCGCATATACCAACACGGCGACGTTTGACCTGAAGTGTGAGGTACGTGAGGTGGTGCCGTGTCGTTTTTTAGTTGCCAATGTACGCTCTGGATTGACTGAGCGGACACATGTGCCGGTCCTAGGTCTGCGGAGAGGGACTCAAAGGCGAGAAGGAGGCCCGCGCGCATGCAGCCGCGACGGGGCACGCGAAGTTTGGCGAATTCTAGGATATCCACTCTATGCCAAACGGATCTACGTATTCTGTACAAAGGATTGTAAATACTGTCAACCCAGATATCTCTCATGCTTCAGCAATAACACCGCATAAAACGTTGACCGACCAAAAAGGGAGCTCGTAAAATCTATCCGGAACGAACCGTCATCTCCTCGCGCAGCTTTCCCTCGCCCTATCAACCTCCACGAAATCTTTGTTAGTTGCAGACTGTGCACCACTATCACTGTCTATCCACTTCCACGCGTTCTTTATCACAAACTCGTCGTACGACCACAGCTTCTCGTCCAGTCTGCTGTCTTGCACATTCCACACGTAGGTCTGAGCAGGAAGGAGGGTTTGGGCCTGCTCAGATTCGCTGGTGGCTGCGGCTGCAGCAGACATAGTAGGAACAGGGAGGCTATCCTGTGCCTCGGAGGTGGCTGGGATGGGCGCGAATGTGCCTAGAGGGTGCACCTGCACTTGCGAGCGTACGTATTCCTGTTCCCGTCCAACAGCAACAACGCAGATAAGGATAAATGATGGGGTGGATGGTGGATTGATTGATTGAGGGAGGGAGTAAAATACTTACATTGCCTTCGAACACGTCGAGAAACGCTATGTCCATCGTCGTGAGGCCCGTCACGAGTGTGCCTCGCACGCTCTTCTCCTCTGGCGTGAGCTCGCGTCCGAATATTACCTGGCTCCGCTCGGAAGGTACGATAGCGGGGTAATCTGCGAACTGTAGATTTTGTTACAAAAATGTTCCGCCCACACAATTTTGCGGTCGGTGAGCCCATTATTTTTTTCCAGAGAAGACTCTTTGGGGACATTCCGCGCGGATGGGCAAAGGAAAAGAATCGAACCTACTTTAACCTGATGACGCGTGTAGTTCTGTGATTTTTGATTTGATCAAGCTGGTTGGAGGGTGAAAGAACTATAATTGGACGGACGGTTAGGATGGCGGGGCATATCTGTAGGTGGCTTGCATCATTGTTCAGCACCCGCTTCAGGATCTTGGGGTGAATCAATATCCCGTAGAAGAACGCAGAGGCCATGAGTGTCGAGAGAAAGGAAGAGTTCGATTATCTCCCATCTTATCAGTACCGATCAATTTACGTACCTCGCGACAGCGTTAACCAAGTGACTCAAGTGGGTGTAAGCGGGATTGAATGGATTGCGCCACGTTACACTGACAGGACAACTAACGATGTACCCTCCTCTTTAACTTACTCATCCTCCTGATCTCTGCTTAACCACCCACTACGATCACCCCCCGAGGCGTCCTCTTCGTTCTCAAAGTCGACAAGTTCCTCCTCCTCTCGATCTCCCGAGTCCCAGGAATTCACAATGCACCAAATTACGAGCACTGTAGTAAATCCAGTAGCCGCCCCAATAACTACCCTAATCTCCCTTGTCGTGTTCTGAAAACTGAATAGTAACAGCGCGACGAAGAACAGCAAAACGCTAGCAGGTAGTAATCGATCACTATACAGAGAACGTAAGATGGGAGTTCGAAAAGACGCACGACCACATCAGCAAAGCGTATGTTAAGCTGAAAATGATGGCTAACGGTTCAAGGTGAACGAAGGCTTCTCCATCTCCTTCAGGTAATTCCACTGCAGGTCGATCAGCTCGAAATGCGTAAGACAGGGCTGCATTAACGCACTGCCGTTTTAGCGTCCTCTTCCATCATTGTGCGATTGCGGCGGATGAGCACTAGACCGGTAATGATACTTCCGATACTAAACACCAATGATGCAGAA